GCATCCCTTGGGTACACCCAGAAAGAGATGAGGGCTCGCCAGGCAGATGGGGCTAAAAGCTTTTAATGGCCCACGGCTGTGTTATGGATAAGAGTCCCCTCCCCGCTGCCTGTTCCCACTCTCAGCAGCCAGAGCCCTGGATGTCATCGTAGTCACTCCCCTCAGAGAAGCTGGGGTCCTGTGTGTGTTCCTCTAGGGGTGGGTCCCCACATGTCTCGGCACCCTGCACGTTCTCATACCACTCCCCTGAGGAGGTGCTGGAGCTGTCAGCATAGTTGGGGTCTGTTGGGGGTGGGGGTACCCACGGCATGTTGAGCACTGGGATGGGCACACAGGGCACGTCTGGGGGTGCTGTGGAAAGCAGGAGATGTATGAGCACCTCTCAGCCCTCCTGCCACTTCCTGGGTCCCCGCATCCATCTGGGACTGTCTCCATCCCTGGGGGTCTCACCAACCCCATTGCCATCCCCAGAGCTTTTCCCTCCCAGAAGTCACACCAACACCATCCCCATCCCCAGGGCCATCCCCATCTCTGGGTGCTCTCACCATCCCCATTTCCAGAGCTATCCCCATCACTGGGTGCTCTCACCATGCCCAGGGCTGTCCCCATCCCTACAGCTGATTCAGTCCCCTTACTGGTGGGTGCTGTGTGCAGGTGGGTGCTGCGTGATGGGGGCTGCGGGCAGTGCCAGGCACCTGTGGAGGCTGCGCTCTCACCACAGTAGGGCTCCGGGGAGGAGGAAGAGGAGGAAGAGGATGAGGATGAGCTCCCCACCCTGCCCCGTGGGTGGGCACACTGCACGGTTGGCACTGCGGGGACACAGGGTGCATGTCACTAGGGAAGCACAGGGCCACCATTCACCCATCCCTGGACAGGCAGACAGACAACTGTGGGATAGGAGGATGGGGCTGGCGCACCCTCTGTGGGAAATGGCTCCATCCCGTCCTGGGTGGGCGTCAGCAGCTGCTCACCCGGCGGTCGGCGCTGTGAGTCTGTGGGGTGGGAGGAACAGGGTCAACGGGGGAATCCAGTATAGTGGGGAGGTGCTGGGGTGGGGTGTGGGGTCTCACTGTGGAAGGTGGAGAGGGCCATGGGTGGCTTGCTGCTGAAATCATAGCGTTCATAGTCAGAGTCAGAGGAGTCGGAGCCCTTGGTGGTGGGAAGGGTTGCTGGTGTGGAGTCTGCAGGGAGAGAGAGCTGCGGCTGCAGTCACCAGCAGATCTGGAGGGGCTGGTGGACTCAGGGAGCGTGTAGGACTGATGGGGATGGTGGGCTGCTGGGGTTGATGGGGCTGCTGAGGACTCATAAAGCGGATGGTGCTAACACGATGAGTGATCTGCTAGACCCACCTGGCCCCTTGGGGAGGTCTGTGGGTGCCTCCCTGTAGTTGTTGCAAGTCTCCAAGGGCATGTCGTGACCCTGGCTGCTGTGGGTCACCAGGAGTGGCACTGGAGTCCCCAGAGTGAGGGCTGCAAGAGTGGAGAGCATCAGTGAGAGTATGGCTGGGAGCAGTGCCCCATGCAGCCCCTATGCCCAGGGAGATCCTCACCGCTCCTCTTCCTCAAGTACAGCAAGGCAGTGGAGAAGACCACCAGTGTGAGCAGGAGCAGCACTGCCAGCACCACACATGAGATGAAGAGAGGCATGTGCAGAAGGGACAGGCCCCCAGCTGCACCCAAGCCCTTTGTGGCTGCAGCAGAGAATGGACAAAGTTCATGACGCTCTCCTACACACACCTCTTCACCCCTTGGTTCCCCCAAAGCACACTTACTGCTTGGGGATGTACCACCACTTGGCATCACGGTCACCTCCAACGTTGGGGTCTGCAAGCCCAGGGAGCCTGCAGGAGGGCAGAGGAGAGGCTGCAGCCTCAGGACCCAGGTGGGCTGCTGGCCCAAACCTTTCCCCATGGGGACAAAGGGTGCCGTACCTTTGCAGACGACACCGGCAGCACGGGACTCGTGGCAGGGAGCTGACTTGTTGTAGGTCCAGCGGCAGTACGCCAGTGAGGGCTGCCAGTCCGGGCACTCATAAAGCATCTTGGTGGGCAGTGTGTGGTGGAAGGAAGGACGCAGCAGTGGCTCCCCGCAGCCCAGCGTGTGGCACAGAACTGCAGCCTCCAGCATGTACCAGGTGCTGTCGCACACAGTGCTCCATGTCCCACGGTAATGCACCTCCACACGACCCGCGCAGCCGTCCTTACCTCCGGACAGCCGCCACTCGTGGTGCTCTGCAAGGGCACTGTCTGGAGTCAGGACGGTGCCACAGCGCGGGGGGGCAGCCATTTCCATGACACAAGGACCAGACAGCGCCACGGCACCGCTTTTGGATGGTGCTGCAGCACGGGCACAGTGCCACAGGCATCCCCCCCCCCCCAGCGCACACGTCACCCACCCGAGCACACCACGCTGGCGTCCTCTTTGTGGCTGCAGTCGTGCTGCAGGGCAGCAGGGCATTCCCCCAGCTGCTCCTCGTGCCCGCTGCAGTTCACCTCGTCCAGCAGCACGGGGCCGTGCCCCCGGCCGAAGGCGGCCTCTCGCGGCGCACGCAGCGCCCAGCCGCAGCCCAGCTGCCGGCACACCACGGCGGCGTCAGCCAGGTCCCAGCCGTCGTCACACACCGTGCCCCAGCTGCCCGCCTGCCGCAGCTCCACCCGGCCCTCGCAGCGGCTGTGCCCACCAGCCAGACGCAGCACCGGGGCACCTGGGTGAGATGGAGAGGCGCTGGCACACGGCACTGTGCCACGGGGACGGCGTGCACCCACTGTGCCCTTACCTGTGCAGGTGACGTTTGCCGGCCCTGCAGCACAGCAGCTGGGCTCAGTGGCCAGCTGCAGCTGGCAGAGCTGTGGCTCCCACCCACTGCAGTTGGCCACCGCAGTTGGGCATCCCTTGGAGAAATCTCTGTCACTGTCCAGGCTTGCCATCACCGCATCACCCTCAGCATCCCCGCAATGCAGGTGGTGGCACAGCTCCCGAGAGGCAGCAGCACTCCAGGACTCCCGACACACAGGCATCCAGTGGCCACGGTGCTGCACCTGCACTGTGCCCTCACAGGGGTGGCTGCCACCAGCCAGGCGCAGCATGGCTGTGCCCCAGGGACCTGCAGGTAGCTCGGGATGAGGGTGGCGGGGGGGTCCCTGCACCCGCTGCCCCGCAGATGGATGCCCATTCTCACCTGGCTCTGCCGAAGTGTTGCTCGGCACAGTGGTGGGAACTCCCGTTGCCTCCACTGGAGCTATAAAGAGAGGGCAGGGAGGTGTAGGATGACAGAGGGGTGCCGGTCCCCAGCATGGCACCAGAGGTACAAAATGGCGACCAGAGGTTGCCTGCTGTTAAGCCAAAACCTCAAATTCATCCCATGTGGCCACACGTTGACCCTCCCGGTGCAGGGGACCGCTCTGGGAAAGACTTCAGGCTTAGCTGTAGGGTTTGGGACAGGCCTGTGCCCAGGTGATTGGTGCTGAGGGGAGATTTTAGGGCACCATGCATGTGCTGGGGGCAAAATGGTGTCCGGGTCTGTTGGGAACAGAGGGCTGTGAGCTCAGCGCCTCGCTGCTCAGCTTGGGAGGAGGAGAAAAACAGAGGCACCTCTGCGCAGTCTGCAGCATGGGCAAAGCATTTGCTTTCTCTCAGCAGTGCTCCACGTGAAGCAGCATTCTTTGCAGAACAACGGTCTGGTGCAAAAAGCAGGGTGGGATGGGATGGGGTGGGATGATCCTGGGGAACAACGGCAAAGCTTCACCTCCCTGGTGGCAGCAAGGGGACACGGAATGGGAGACCTCATGCTGGGTCAGACCCCACTGGTGCCGAGCATCCTCACCGTGTATCGAACCCAACGTGTCGGCGACATCCCACCAGGGCTGGGGATGATGGCATACCTGGTTTGGGCACGGCAGCAGCGCAGAGAGCAGCCAGCAGCAGGCACAGCACCTCCATCCTCACCTCCTGCCCATTGCGTCGGATGCTGCTCGGTGTCGGGATGTGGCCCCTTGCTGCTGCATGCCGCACGTCCGGCCCCGGTATGCAGGAAGCCAGGGGTGCCGGTGTGGGGGTGGTTCCATCCTGTCCCACTGCAGCATCACATGCCCGTGGGAAGCGGTACGCTGAGGGGTAACAGAGGCAGCTTGGGGACCATGCCGTGCACCCGTGGTGTCCCTGTAGTGCATCGGTGGTGTGGGAGAAGCTCAGAGCACTGCGGGATCACACTGCTCCCCACTCTGATTTGGGATGAGAGGGGTTAGGAGAACCCACGCCCACTGCAGGGACGAACTCTGCCACCAGCAGTGGGGACAGGGGGACCCTGGGATAACCAGGATGGATTGGATGCAGCCGATCGCTTTGGCATCCAGGGATAAAGAGGTGGGCATGGATGTGTGGTCTACCACCGGAAACCACAGCAGTGGGATGGGAAATGGATTTGGGAGCCTTCATGAATCTGAGGAAGCCCAGCAAAGCAGCCACATCACTGTCTCCATCCATCCCCATTTCCTTTCCCCATTCTATCCCCATCCCATTCTATCCCATCCCATCCCATCCCATCCCATCCCATCCCATCCCATCCCATCCCATCCCATCCCATCCC